GTTCCGTCTGCAAGCGTTGCTTCCACTATTGCTCTAACATGTTCCATTTAATGGTTTCTCCCTCCAGGACCTGCCGTCATTTACACAGAATGTGCACAGGCTGGTCAATGACCTGCGCTACTACAGACTCTGCAATGACAGTTTGCCTCCTGGGACTGTGAAGCTATAGTTCATGGCACTGGACTCAGTTTGAATCGCTGTAAAGAGCCAATGTGTACTCCTTGTATTGCCACTGCCTCTGCTCCCCAATCTCATGCAGAGTGTGAGGCTTGCAGAGCGTCACGTCTTTCGTAGGGGCCGCACATAGGAGTGGCATGCCTCACCCCTTCCACATTCCCCTCCCAGCTCATCCCTGCAGCCGAGTTGGCAGCTCTGTGACCTGCAGGGTGTCTTAAGGCCAACTGTGGGCCATTTTGCTAGCTGGGTGTTTTTGTCTTAATACCGTGGCATTCAGTTGCGTTTGCAGGTTTTGGTGACTGGTCTTGTGCATCAATCATGAGGCAGAAACGCCAAAGACTACTTCCGATGTTCCCACCTCACATCATTCCGCCTGCCTTTCTCCCTTACCTTGCCATTGAGGAGACAGCCCCACCTACACCCCACCCTTTGTTTTTAAATTGCCTTGAAGTCTCCCCCGCTGATGGTGGGGATGAAGAGAGAGACCTACAGACTGACTTTTTTTTAAAAAAAAGAAAATGTTTTTCTCATCATTCCATTGTGATACTAAAATGTGCTTAATGGAAATAAAAAAAAAAACATGCTTTCTTTGTTTTAAATGGATTTGAGCTCTGTTTAACTACCTTGGATGCATTTTGGAAACAACTGAGAAAGCATAAGCTATGAGTTTCAGAGCAATTTCCACAGGCCAACTACTTGAGGCATTAGACATTGTGGATTGCTTGCTAAATGGCTTTGGGAATCGTTTAACATTGCTGTAGTGTGTTTTCTTTGTACTTAGAACACACGATATACATTCTCAGGCATCTTTCATCATTGTATTCTGTCTGATGTAGATTTATCACTGCTTTGTCTTCACAGCAAGCCTCTGAAGTGAATTAAGCAGACGCAAGTATTGGCCTAGCCATCCACTGAACCTTGCTGTTGAATGTGGATAAGTGAACCCAGATCTTCATGCTCCTGGCCCCACATTCTCTCCAGTACATTATACTGACTCTTTGGTTCTTAATCTTTACAGTAATGTTGAGAGGTAGAGATCTAATGTAATTTCTTTTACTGCGCATTACACAAACCATTACCTCCAGATGATATTGGACTGCGACTTAGCTCTGGCCAGTTGTGAGGAAAATATATAAACGTTGAAGTCAACATTTCGAAGCCAACATATTCCCCATCCCATTTTCCACCTTGGTTGGTTCTGTGAATGGGCTACCTTTTTTATCCCTCATGCTACTGGCATTGCTTGTGCATACAGCTTTAAATCTCGAGACTACAGTTTTTTCTGGCAGGGTTCCTTGAGGTTGCATTCACTTGCATTCCCAGCTAATGACTTCTTTCAAAAGGAAAAACTATATAGACAATACAAGTTTTGGTATCTGAGCATTTTAGTCTCTTGATGCTGTTATATTTTCTGACTTGCCGGTGCCACTATGAAGATTTCTGAGTTTGTTGCTTTTGTTTGAATTCTGTTTGTCACACTCTGCATGTCCCTGTCCAGGCACAGGGGTCAAGAGCCTTGCAAAAAATACCTGCTATGGCAGTAACATATTTACCCAGAGCAAAAAGTTTTTACCCAGAGCATGTTTTCTTTGTCGGGATCAATAGATCAAGGTCATGGATTGGGCAGGTAGCCAAATCCAGATGTAAAAACAGATTTCCCCAGCCTGGTGCCCCATAGATGGTTTGGTCTGCAAGTCCTATTAAAGCCATGCTGATTGAGGGATGATGAGAACTGTAGACCAAATACATCTGGAAGGCAGCAGGTTTGGAGAACCATTTTAAAGTCGGTCTCCATGCTGAGAGCAAAGTCTGCTTAAAATATGCGGATAGCCTTGCTTAAAATGCTATATTGATAGCTTTTCTTCCACATGGACCCCTTCAGAAAGTCACATCACATGCCTTCAGGAAGCAGCCCTATCCTAAATATCCTTAAGACAGGCATAATGTACTGGCCTTTCCCTGGAAGGATATGACTGGCAGTTTTGGGTGCATAGAACTCCTTTTGCGGAAAAAAACCTTTTTTTGTCAGTATAGTCCAAAGATACAGAACTGTGGTCCTCCAGATGATGATGCACTGCAATACCTGTAATCCCTGAACATTGGGTTCTTTAGCTAGGACCATTGGTTGATGAAGTTGCATAACACCTGGGTGACCATAGTTTCCCATTCCTAGTGTTCTAACATACTTGCTTTTAGTTGGTGGATTGGTTCCTTGAAGACACTGCAGTTCAGTAGATACTGAATTAGAGGAAACAACAACCGAAGTACAATAGCTTTGATCCCTTAGTTCCAGCTCTTCCAGGGAGTCAATTCTGAATAGTTTTAGGTGAGCATTTCTATTTGAATTCCCATCCTGTCAAAATGGTCAAATACCAGAGTTCTCCTGAGTACTGTCTTCCTAGCGTGGAACATTTTGCATGCAAGGAGAATATGTGATATAGTGACCAACCTGTATGATTGGTTTTGCAAGATGGTTCTGCGTGATTAGGTTTGAGGGTGGGCTGGTTGATGGGTAACTTAGAATCATAGAATTATAGAGTTGGAAGAGACCCCAAGGGCCATCCAGTCCAACCCCATTCTGCCACTTGGTACAGCATTGTCAGTTTACAGAAAAGATGGGGGAGGAAGGAAACGTGAGAAATGGCCCGTTTGACCAACGTATCTGCTTGCTTCAATGGAAGCAAGACTCAAGGAGGTTAAGTCAGACATTGTGGAAGATGTGGGGTTTGAATCAAGGACTTGAAGAGAAGTTTTATCAACATTTTGGAGAGCCAGAAATTCTCAACGTAAAAGAGGCTGAGCTAAGAGGACCTTGGATCTTCCTTAATGGGTGTTCCAGATCTGTGAAGTTTTCTGCTAGTATTATGGTGTCATCTGCATATCTTAGATTGTTGCTATTCCTTCCTCCTATTTTCAGTCCTCCTTCTTCTGTGTCCAAGCCTCTTTTTCTTATATGTTCTGCATACAAGTTGAACAGATTAAGGATACAGCTTTGTCTGACCCCTTTCCCAATTGGGAACCATTCAGTTTCTCCATCTTCTGTCCTGACAGTAGCCTCTTGTCCTGAGTCCAGATTCCTCATCAGGACTATCAGATGTGTTGGCACTCCCATCATGTCTTTCAGGGCCTTCCAGAGCCTTTCATGGCCTATGCAGTCAAAGGCTTTGCTATAGTCTCTAAAGCACATGCTGGTTGTCTTTTGGAACTCCCTGGTGCGCTCCCTTAGCCATCCTATGTTTGCAATATGGGTCCCTGGTGCCCGAAACAGTGAGAATAGCTGGAAATCCGAGCCTCTTCCCTCTCCTCCGCCTTTAGGGCTGGACCAGGAGGAGGCTGGGCACAGAGGCTCCCTTTATAAGCCTGGCAGCCGGAGGGGCATCTCTTGGGCCACCATGGTCTTCCTCCAGCGCTGCTTGGCTCCTAGGCGGAGGCTCTGGCTCTTCCAAGGGGGTCTGGGCTCCCTCCCAAACCTCAAGCCCCTTGTGCCCCCTGATCGCCTCTTTGGGGGGCAGCCCTACAGCACCGGTGAGTGAGTGAATGAGAGTGCCCAAGGAGGAGGGAGGCTGGCAGGGCATGGCATGGCATGGCATAGGGTACCCCCTCCATCCATCCATCCATCTCTCCTTGGCATCCTTCCTCCTCTTGACAGCTGCCCCTCCAAAAAGTGCAGCCAAGGGCTTGGAGGGGTTCCCTGGGCATGCATTGCTTCAGGATGGGGGCACAAGGCGGTGCCCTCCTCACTGCCCAGGAGGACAAGGCCAAATGGAGGACCTTCCGGGGGGAAAAATGGAGGACGAGGAGCTAGAAACACACTCATCCTGCAAAAGTGTGTGCAAGTTCATGCTTCTCAGTCCTGCATTTTTGGGGTCCCTCCTGGACAAGAAGGCTGGCCTGGTGGGCAGGTCCGGGAAAAGGAGGACGCCTGGTCACCCTCGTAGTCGTCTCTAGGCATTCCTCCCCCTTTGCCTCCAGGACCCTCGGTTTCCCTCCCCAAGAGGCAAGCCTTCCCAGTTCCTGATGGAGAGAAGAGAAGGAGGAGGAGGCTGGGAAAACTACTTTGGAGGACTGCAACTCTCAGGATCCCTCCAGCCAGGGAGATCTAGTCCCCCCCACTCTCCAATATATACATACAGGTTGTATACAATCATACAGGTGGACTAGATCTCCCTGGCTGGAGGGATCCTGAGAGTTGCAGTCCTCCAAAGCAGTTTTCCCAGCCTCCTCCTCCTCCTATATATTGGGGAAAGGGGGGGGAAGAAAAAGAAAAGCCAAGCAGTGTGCTTCTTCTAAAAGTGCTCCTTTTTCTGAAGGACTATTATTATTATTATCATTACTACTACTACTACTACTACTATCATCATCATCCCAGGATTCCTCCAATTAGTGAAATATAGCACCACTCCAAAAATAAATATGTCACTTTGCCAAGCTCAAAATGATCAGTAGTTTGAAGCATTTGGACAAAAAGAAAAGCCAAGCAGTGTGCAGCTTCTAAAAGTGTTCCCTTTTCTGTAGAAGGGCTATTATTATTATTATTATTATTATTATTATTATTATTATTATTATTATTATTATTATTATTATTAATATTACCATCATCATCATCCCAGGATTCCTCCAATCAGTGAAATATAGCACCACTCCCAAAAAATAAGTCACTTTGCCAAACTCAAAAGTGATCTGTGATTTGGAACAATTGGAGAAAAAGAAAAGCCAAGCAGTGTGCTTCTTCTAAAAGTGCATTCTTCTCCATTTGTTATTATTGCTGTTGTTGTTGTTGTTGTTGTGTGCCTTCTAGTCATTTCCCAAAAGGTTTAATGAGAAGCAGCATGGCATAGTGGTTTGAGCATTGGACTATAATGATTCTGGAGACCAAGGTTCGATTCCCTGCTTGGCCATGAAACCCATTGGCTGACCTTGGGCAAGTTACACTCTCTCAGCCTCAAAGGAAGGCAATGACAAACCTCCTCTGAACAAATCTTGCCAAGAAAACCTCATGGCCTTAACAACAACAAAATTGTAGGATTAAAGGAAAATGGTGGCTGTGGCAGATCTTGTTGGCAGGAGTCCTTCCTCTTGATCCTAAACTGCAATCCATGCTATCCTAAAAGACATATAACTCTCTCTTGGGTCAGGATAGAAGGCAGCTAGGCTTTCAGGAAAATTTATCACCAGCATTTTCCTGGTCTGATCTGCACTTCAGAAATAATGCAATTCGATACCGCTTTAACTGCCATAGCTCAATGCTATGGAATCCTGGGATCTGTAGTTTGTTGTGGCTCCAGAGCTCTCTGACAGAGAAGACTAAATATCTCACAAAACCACAAATCGTAGATTTAGGAGCCCTAAATGAAAAAACGACTAAAAGGAATTTAAATGTGCTCCAGTGTGGCACTGACATTCTTTGCCTTCAGATGTCTTCTGTCTTTGGTTGCATACAACAGATCACAGAGTGTTGTGTGGGAGACATAGCATTTATAAACAGAGAGTCCTCCCATGAGTCCTCCGGATGGACATCCCCCCAGTCCATAACTTGAGGCTTGAATTTCCCAGTACATACTATTATCTCACAAGAGGCATAGCAATTTCCTCTTGGATTTTGGCCAGCAGCAGCAAACTAAACAGTGAGATGGGATTGCCATAGCCCACTTTTTCCAATCTGGGCTTCTAAACTGCATATGATCCTAATTATTTTAATTATCCAAACTCAACGCATTCATGGTTGCATTTTTCTTTCGCTGAAGTTTCAGTCTTCATACAAGTTGAGTCTCCCTTATCCGGAATTCCAAAATATCTCACAATCCAAAATTTTCTTTCATGCACAAAATTATTTAAAATATGGTGTATGAAATTAGCTTCAAGCTACGGAGAGCCAGCATGGTGTAGTGGTTTGAGTGTTGGACTACAAATATCAGAAAACCAGGGTTCGATTCCCTTCTTGGCCATGAAACTCACTGGATGATCTTGGGCAAGTCACACTCTCTCAGCCTCAGAGGGAGGCAATGGCAAACCTCCTCTGAACAAATCTTGCCCCCCCCCCATGACCCACTCACAATTCCTGCCTAGTTTGTTCATTGTTTGTCGCTTCAAGGAGCACTGTTTTCATGTTTTAAATTAATATGTTTTAATGTTAATATTGGTTTAATACCTTTTTAAGGGGATGGGAGGGTTCTGGGATTTTTGTATTGTATTTTATATTGTATGGAATTTTAACTGCTGTAAGCCGCCCCGATTGTTTGACAGAGGGACGGGATACAAATTATTATTATTATTATTATTATTAGGGTTGCCATAAGTCAGAAATAACTTGAAGACCCACAGCAACAACAGCAAATGTATATAAAGTGTAAATGGAACTTAAATAAATTTCATGTTTAGACTTGGATTCCCATCTCCAAGATATCTCATTATATATATGCAAATATGCCAAAATCCTAAAAACTCCCAAACCTAAAACACTTCTGGTAAGAAGCATTTCAGACAAAGGGAGATTCAACCTGTACTGTCCCTTCCACTCAGGTCTGAAATTTGCAAACACACTTCTTTCTTGCAGAAAATTGTGGAAGAAGTGTGCCATCATTTTCTGCCCTGTATCTTGTGGTCCCCAAAAATAATTTTCCAAAGTTCTGATTCAGAGGCATCATGCCTAATAACCATTTGGCCCCATTTGAAAGAAATACAGTGAGCTCTTGGTATCCGCTGGAATTTGGTTCCAGGACATCCCAATGGTTATCAAAATCCATGGATGCTCAAGTCCCATTATATAGAGTGGCATAGTAAAACGGTGTCCCTTATTTAAAATGGCAAAATCAAGGTTTGCTCTTTGGGATTATTTAAATATATATATATATATATATTTCCAAGCTGTGGATGGTTTAATCCATGGATGCAGAAATCCATGGATATGCGGGGCAGACTGTCTGTCCTTTTATATTTCCAACATTGTTACAGCGGACAATCCCATGTTCTACGTACTGATAGAGTCAAAGCCTTGCAGATTCCTAAAATCTCTGGCCAAACCTCCCTTTCTTTGCCTAACAGGGCAACCCACAGGAGTGCAGGAGCGCACTCTGATAGCCCTGAAGCCGGATGGAGTTCAAAGGAGGCTGCTGGGAGATGTGATCAAACGCTTTGAGAAGCGGGGCTTCAAGCTTGTGGGCCTTAAGTTACTCCAGGTAATGTTCCTTGGGAGAACAGGGGAATCATCACAGGGTTTTCTTGGCAAGATTTCTTCGGAGGAGGTTTGCCTTTGCCTTCCTCTGAGGCTGAGAGAGTGTTTCTTGCCCAAGATCAAATGACTTGAAGGCACGCAATAACATCATCATCAACAACAACAGGATTCGAAGGCTTTCATGGTCGGCTTCTATGGGTTTTTGTGGGTTTTTTGGGCTGTGAGGCTATGCTCTAGAAGTATGTATTCCTGATGTTTTGCCTGTTTTGCCTACATCTGTGGCTGGCATCTTCAGAGAATGGTGGCATGGAGGTGTGTGGGGTATGTACACTGTGGGGTATATATACCAAGGGTCACACAGTATATATATACCCCACACACCTCCATGCCACCATTCTCTGAAGATGCCAGCCACAGATGCAGGCGAAACGTCAGGAATATATTCTTCTAGAACACGGCCGCACAGCCCGAAAAACCCACAAAAACCTAACAACAGGGTTTTTTAAACCTCAGAGCACACAGTTTTGTTGTTGCAGTTGTGTGTCTTCGAGTCATTTCCGACCTATGGCAACCCTACCATGAGGCTTTCATGGCAAGTTTCTTCAGAGGAGGTTTGCCATTGCCATCCTCTGAGGCTGAGAGAGTATCACTTGCCCAAGGTCACCCAGTGAGTTTCATGGCCAGGCTGGGATTCGAACCAGAGGAGTCCTAGTCCAACACCCAAACCATTACACTATGCTTAAGAGAAAGATGAAGAGAAAAATTAATTAATTAAAAATTGATGAAGAGAAAGATGGACAAGGAATTTATAAGGGTTAGAAGAGAAGGACGAATAATTGAAATAGATTGCACGATTGCTTAACTGCAATCGAACAAGTAAATAATTAGATGATGGACATGTAAGTATAGATGTTTGTATGTTACTTTATTTTAGAGCATTGAATGTGTTGTTTCTTTTAAAATTTAATTTAAAAAAATATTTTTAAAAATTCCCTAGCCTTGAGCCACGGGAGTTAAAAGCGGTGTCAAACGGCATCGTTTCTGTCATTTCCTTGTGATTTTGGGTGTTTCTTTTCTTGACAGGCCAATGAAGGGATCTTATCAGAGCACTACCATGAGTTGCGCAGGAAGCCCTTCTATCATGAGTTGATCCAGTACATGACCTCAGGACCTGTGGTTGCAATGGTAAGGTGCCTTCATCTTCTGTGCTCAATATCCAATACCTATGCCATTGCCCTGCCCTCTATTCCTAGGCTTACCCAATACCCCTTTGCTGTATTTATATCTTACATTTTTATCCCACCGCTCCATGAAAAAAATAACGCTTAAAAATTACGCCGTCATTAAAAAATACACTAAGGAATAGATCATGATTCGTCACAAACTAAACAATAAAACCGTATAACATACTGTTGTAAAAAAAATATTTAGATCCTTTGGGTCTAAAACAGTCCAGGAGGGGAGCAAAAACATGGCCAAAGTGGCCACCAAATTCCCTAGAAGGCATTGGGTGCAAAAGCTTTTAAATATTTTTGTGGGGTGGTTAGACCCTCCAAGGTCTTCTAGGATCCAGCTTGGCTCCCTATCCTCCAAGAGTTGTCCACTTTTATGTAGGATTTCAGACAGAATGTTTCTTGATAATAAAATTCTTGATATTTGCTTCATTTCTGGGTATGTGTCAGCATATGGATTAAGTAAAATCATGGAGGAGGAGGCCATTAGTGGCTGTTAGTCCTGGTGCCTACAACTCACTTCCAAAGTCAAAGGTAGTACAAAGGAGAAGATGCTTTTGGTCTCATGGCCTCTTTTGGGACATCCCAGTGACATCTGGTTGTTGTCGGTGGTGGTGTGATCCAGGTCAATTTTAAAAATGTCTTTCTTTGATCTTTGAAATATTTGAAGGGATGTCATATTGAGGAGGGAGCTAGCTTGTTTTCTGCTGTTCCAGAGAATAGGATCCGGAAGCTACAGGAAAAGGGATTCCACCTCAACATTAGGAGGATCTTCCTGACAGTAAGAGCTGTTTGACAATGGAAGACACTCCCTTGGAGGATGGTGGAGTCTCCTTCTTTGGAAGTCTTTAAACAGAGGCTGGGTGGCCATCTGTCAGGGATGCTTTGATTTTGAGTTCCTGCATGGCAGAATGGGGTTGTACTGGATGGCCCTTGGGGTCTCTTCCAACTCTATGATTCTATGATCTTTGTCTCTTCTTTGGCTTCCTTGGATTTCCTGCAGGTTTGGGAAGGTCACAATGTTGTCAAGGCCTCCCGGGCCATGGTGGGAGAGACCAACCCTGCCGAAGCCAAGCCAGGGACCATCCGAGGGGACTTTAGCATTCACGTCAGCAGGTATGAGTTGGGCAGATCAACCATGGCCGATTTAATTTGACCAGGGCTCTTTGGGACCAACCTTGACAGGGGGTAGGTACAAATGCAAAGGGATCTTTGTCGAACCCTTGAGACTAAATGAAAGAGCGAAGATGGCGGCATGAGCTTTCGTAGACTTGAGTCTACTGATGCCATCTGTCTCGGTGAAGTCCTGTTATTTGGCAAATAGGGATTAGAAGCATTTGAGGAAGCAGACGTAAGTTTACGAAAGCTCATGCTGCCAACTTCTTTCTTTTAGTTAATCTCAAAGATGCTATAAGATCTCTCTGCATACTGATTCTACAGACTAACATGGCTATATCTTTGAATATGTATTTCATATTCTCTCCAAATGCATCTGAGGAACCAGACTTTAGCCTACACAGATTCATGCTGCCAACTTCTTTCTTTCAGTTAATCTCAAAGGTGCTAAAAGATCTCTCTGCAGACTAACATGGCTATATCCTTGTATTCAGACTGTGTGTGCGTGGTTTTTTAAAATAATAATAATAATAATAATAATAATAATAATAAATAATTTTTATGCCTCCTCTCTGCAGCGCAATTGAGGTGCCATACAGCAAATTAAAACAACATTACAAGTTAAAACAGTCAAACAATCCCTTCCCTAACCCACCCACCCCTTAAAAATATATTAATCTATAACAGGATTAAAATACAAGATAAAAAAAACAATACAATTACAAATAAATAGCAGCTAAGCAGCAAAAGAGCTGGAATACATTTCTTTGGGCCGGGATGTTATTCAGGGAAGGCCTGCCGGAAGAGAACCGTCTTTACTGCTTTTTTAAAGCAGTCAAGAGTAGTAATAAGATGGATCTCATCCGGTAGGCCATTCCATAATCTGGGGGCGGAGGCTCTAAATCTAAATGTTTATCATAAATGTGACATACTTTTATTATTTTGTAAAAAAGGGTGTTAATGTGCAACGTTTGCTCACTGTGAGGTTTCTCTTGGAAACAGGAATGTTGTCCATGCCAGCGATTCTGTGGAGACAGCCCAGCGGGAGATCAGCCTTTGGTTTCGAAGCAATGAGCTGGTAGACTGGGATTGTTGCGATCACAAAATCATGTATGAGCTTTGACAGCCTGTGCTTTACGGACACAAGATCTACTACCTCTGCCAGCAGGTTGCTTTTTTCAAAGTCATCTGTGCTTTGGTCTTTGCATCACGGTGCTTCCCAACCACTTTGCACCTACTCAGGGGAACGAATATCGCTTCTTGCACATCCCGTCTTTTCTCAGCCGTCTTCTAGTTGCTGAGAACATCAGATTTGCCACTGTTTGGAAATCTTGGTCGATATGGTGGGATAAAACGTGGAGCACGGGTCTTAACAGAACTCAGATTAAAATCGGATTTGTACGAACCTGATTTTGATTTCTACGT